GCCGAAAACCGTATATACGTCTCGATGCCGCTTGTATCCCGCTCGCCTCCCTCCCGCTGTGGCTTTCGTCCCTACCCCCAACGAACGGCCGATGCACGTATAATAGCGAAGCCGTGCCATAAAGCGGTACCCCCATCATAAAGGCCTCTTCAATCCGAATGAGGAGGAAAAAGAGACTCGAGATGAGAATGCCTCCCGTCCTACCTAACTTTTTCCTCCTTCTCCTCACCTTCCACTCCCAGTAGCACACCCTTATTCCGGCTTCGTGGACTCTCTTTTCAGTCCCGGTCCCCCTCTTACCCTTTGGCTGCCGGGGGAGGGGATGGCGATGCTCGCTTGAAGAAGGCCGCGGAGGCTGAGTGCGGAATGGGTCGACGCAGGGGGTTGAAAGCGGCCGGAGGCGAAACGGGGAATGATGGGTAAAAAAGAAAGATGGCAGGAAACACAAGGGAATTCTTGATCTTTTAGCGGGCTGACGCTTTTAATTCACGAGGTCTCTTAATTGTGCCCCGCTATTTGGCGACTTCTCGCCGACTCTGCGAGTAACGGCGTTTGTACGTGTCGGGGTGCGCACTTTCTTCTGTCTCCCTGTCGCGCATCCGGTTTCCTGTTGCCGTCGCCGGTCATCATCGATTCTCCTCGTAATCGCATTTCATTTTATATATCATGCGAGTTTATATTTTACGTTTAAATAATACGACGAGACAATTTTGAAATTAAAAATTGTCTGCTCGAATGTCAATGTGTCATTACTTGTTGCTAAATGTTTTGTGTTTTATACTATTATTTTTAAATTGCTATACACTTTTGTGCTTGTAACATAATTTTTTATCTATGTCACAAAAAAGCCCGAAATTATAAAATATTAAATATTAAACATATACAATATAAAATATTATAAAATAACTTGAACAATTAAAAAAAATTTATTCTTTTAATTTGTAAATTGATGATAAACTTTATTACTATTAAAGACATCAAAATCTTCTTTTGTAAAAGCACTCTTATTTCTCTTTCCATCTCTCTTTATTTTTTTCTCCCGCTTGCTTTTCATTTATTCTCTTGTATGCATCTTTGCTTACTCACTTGCTCGTTCGTTCGTTTATTCGCATAATAAATTCATAATATGTAATGCTACAGATTTGTAAGTACCACGGGTAAAAACTATAAATACGGACTTATAAGATTATAATTTACAAAAGGAGAAGCTGACAAGGCAAAGCAAAACTTTAATATCGATCGTTGCAAGGAATGCAAAATATTTGAATAAAAGCGGAAAGCTGGAGCGCTTTCCGTCATATACACTTAGAAAGGAGAAAAAATAAATTTTCACGACGCGAGGCATAGTAAAAAGCACGGAGATAAATTCACATCGACGACATTGGCATCTCGCGAAATGGTGTCGGTATGGATAACTCGCTTGTGTGAACGCCGCAACCTTGTTCTTGTCGTTCTCAGTCGCCGCTGTAAAATATCTGAGAGAAATACGTGTAAGGGAAAACGAATGGGCAGAACGAGGGGGGCAGGAGGGCGCGCGCCGTAGATACCCTCTTACGAGCGGCTTATGTTTCAATTTGTTCGGTCGCAAATAAAATCGCGTTTTACGAGGCGTCAAAATGCCACAATCCAGCGACCACATCCTTCCAACGAGTCCGTCCCTTTGTTATCCGTCCCTTTGTTAATCGACTGATTCTTGACATATTCGCGAATCGCTATTTTAATTAAGTAGAAAAGGCACTTGTATTTCTCTTAAAATCTTTGGAAAAGAGAAATATAATTTTTATTTGAATTTTTAATCAAATAAAGTAAAGTTATTATTGATTGAAGAATAAGATTACATTGCTTATTTTTTATTTTGCAAAGATTCTCTAAATCTCAACATTATAAATATAATTTAACTTACGTGAACTTAGTTATAATATGAAAATATTCCGTGTTGATGATACAATCGAGTATAATTAAACTCGAAAAGTCTGGTGAGAATTTTGCATGTCGCGTCGTGCAACGCAACACCGAATACGAAACGTCGGCAATAGGAATCAAAAGAACTCCGACGCACAATTGTCACCGAAAAATGTCGAAGTCGTCCTCAAACGATGAAGACATCCGGCGATCGATGCAAAATACTTCCGTTCTCCGGTACGTCTGTCTCTTTGAATGTCTACCTCGTCATCTGTCCCACCGTTTCTTCCATCCTTTTCTCAGGCTGGATGCAGACACCACAAATCCTGAAGGAAACAGTCAGTCAGTCAGTCAGTCTGAAGAATCGTCGTGCTCCTTTCGTATTCATACTTCTCTACTTTTCCCTTTCTTTACGAGAGATAAAGAATCGATAGAAGCTCGAGTTCAATGAGGAGAAGGGGCGCAAGAGGGAAAGACGAGTTTGCGCGAGCTATAAGGACAAAGGGAGAAAGGAGGAAGTGTATATAGCCGGTAAATCCTACATTTTGCAATTCCAATCCTCATGCTGCAATGCTGCATTGTCTCGATTGCGGCGAACGGTAGAAGCGCTTCGGCGCGATCTACCAGTTTCAAGGCTTTGACGTCGCTCGCCATCGAATTGCGATTAATCGCGCGCTGTTTGCGTTTTGCAGTTAATCGGTTGGCGGATGTTTTGTGCGTGTGTTGTGTGCATACGTACGTGTTCCGACGAGCGATACCGTGTTCCGACGAGCGATCCCGCATAACTCGCAGACTTGTAATTGACGAGCTGTAATCGAAAAGTTGAGGCAGAGGGAAACTATAACTGCCAGAAACTATCACATCGTGGAAATGAAGAGGAAAAGTTGTCCACGAATGATTCGATAAGCGATAAACGTTAAGCGTAATACCGAAACGAATGCCGGGGAAATACAATTAAGATGCTGGATCAGTGCTTCATATCGATGTTAGATTAACATCGGCGTTTCAATTATTATTTCAATTTATATTTCTGGCTCTCGACGCGATTCTTCGTTTAACAAAATGAAAAGTCGTCCCTTTATCACATCTCGTAAAAAGACAAAATGCCAATTTCGCGGAAAATGTAAGGTTTATGCAGCCCGATTATTATCATACTTTTTCATACATATTGATTTATTGCCGTTTTCCTAAAATTACATCTCGAAAGCGCTATTAATCTTGCTGATGCATCTCGGAATATAATCCCGTGTACAAGACAGTCGGTATCGGTAATTAGTGCCGATTCATTTGTCAAAGCAACGGACCGGACCGTTTTCGATTTAATTCCGATGGCGCTTTCGCAGAGTAAAGAAAATTACTTCGATCCCTGGGAAGATTCTTAAACGGCGAGCGTTAAACCACCGAAGTGGTAAGCGATCAAAGCTGCTTCATCAGTCAAATATATATAAGCTTTACATGCCGCGGACTTAGGCATTAAAATGTTGCGTAAAACGACTGTAATAAAATTTCGCGATCTGAATATTGAAAAAAATAACGTAAATTGTGACAAATACATAATTGTGCAAACGTGCTTGAAATGCACAATTGAAATGTTGAACCACAAAATGGAAAATTTGCTTGGATTTCGTAAGAAATATGACTCCTATGGCGTTTTACAATTGAGAGACAAGCAGATCAGAATTGCGTCAGGCGAGGGTATGACTTCGCATGATCGCGTACGTATTTCATACTCGCGCGTGATCCCGAATCGCATTAAAATAACCATTAACTGGGTCGGAAACACAATGCTCGTCAGTTACAATTCGCGGAATTGTTCCGCGCGACGAGTCACGCGGCTGACCTCACGTCAAACATTTAAAGACCCTCTGTTTTTCTTGCCGCAGATCCACACCGCGGATCTGGGTTAGCTTACCTTGAATTAGCATACTTCCATGTCCCTTTCTAGGCTATAGGTTTTTCCCACGAGATTAGTATATAGGAGAAATAAGTGTTTTGCAAGTGTAAACGTGAGAAAAATGAAACTGCGCAAAATGTTTTTGGCACTTATATTATCTACTTATTTTTGCGTTTCCGCTCTGCGTTTTATGCGGATTATACATCACGACGCGTTGCATTTTCCATTTGCGAAAAATTCTCTGTGTACAAAAGTGAGTGAATAAAGCACAGCGTTACTCTATTATGTCGGGATAATTGGAAAAGGTGGAAAGTGTCCAACAATTGAAGTTTGAGAGGACATAAGAAAAGCTGGTCTCATTCCACGAGCGTTGTACCGTAAACGATTAATGATGAGAAACGAGAATCAACTTTCTAAAGAAGAATCGCTGCTCTTTTTGACCCAGGTTACCGGCGCGATATCGATCGTTCGCCGAACGGCAGAGAGGGACCAATTAAGGACACTATTCGTTTCCACAGCTGCGAGTCGAGATACTTCCGCGTTTACTTCATGAAATACTTCTTTAACTCCCGTACATACGCCGTGTCCCGGCGCCAAACACTTGTCGCTACATGATTCAGGAGCGGAAGAAGAGAAAGAAGCATAGGAAGAAGACACGACGCGAAGGTGCGAAAGAGAGGGGAGAAAGCAGAATACCGACGACTGAAGACGAGGAGGGTAGAGCAATAGTTGGCGGCGCGGGGGGGGAGAGAGAGAGAGAGAGAGAGAGAGAGAGAGAGAGAGAGAGAGAGAGAGAGAGAGAGAGAGAGAGAGAGAGAGAGAGAGAGAGAGAGAGAGAGAGAGAGAGAGAGAGAGAGAGAGAGAGAGAGAGAGAGAGAGAGAGAGAGA